CTGGACCTGTGTGGAGGCGGTGTGAGAGCGGGAATAAAGAATTGCTGTTTGAACCTACAAAGCTGTGTGGTGCCTCCTGAATTTTGTGCCAAGCCCAGACATTGCCAATTTGGCCTTTGGTTTTTTGGGGGATTGGCACATTTTTCTTAGCATGATATTCTCCAACTTCATCCATTTACCTGCAATGGTGTGACTTCATTCTTCTTTAAGGCTAAGTAATAATCAATTGTGTATATATACCACAGCTTCTTTACCCATTCATCTGTTGAAGGACATCAAGTTTGGTTCCATAGTTTGGCTATTGTGAATTGAGCTGCTATAAACATTGATGTGGCTGTGTCATGGTAATATGCTGTTTTAAAGTCCTTTGGGTATAAACCAAGGAGTGGGATAGCTGGGTCAAATGATGGTTCCATTTCCAGTTTTGTTAGGAATCTCCATGCTGCTTTCCATAGTGGTTGCACCAATTTGCAGTCCCACCAGCAATGTATGAGTGTACCTGATCCCCCACATCCTTGCCAACATTTACTGTTACTTGTGTTCTTGATAATTGCCATACTGACTGGAGTGAGATGAATCTTAGAGTGGTTTTGATTTGTATTTCTCTAATTACTAGAGATGTTGAACATTTTTTCCCATATATTTGTTGATCAATTGTATATATTTTTCTTTGAAGTGTCTGTTCAGTTTCTTAGCCCATTTATTGATTTTATTGATTTTTTTTAGTTCCTTATATATCCTGAAGATTTGTTCCCTATCTGATTTGCATGTGGTAAAGATTTCTCCAATTCTGTAGGCTATCTCTTTGTGTTATTGCCTTTTTTTTGTTTTGTTTGCTGAGAAACTTTTTAGTTTGAACCCATCCAATTTATTATTGTTGATTTTATTTCTTGTGCTTTAGAAGTCATGTTAAGAAGTAAGGTCCCAAGTTGACATGATAAAGATTTGAGCCTACTTTTTCTTCTTTTAGCCGCAGGGTCTCTATTCTAGTGCCTAAATCTTTAATCCACTTTGAGTTTTGTGCAGGGTGAGAGGGCTTAAATTTCATTTTGTAACATATGGATTTCCAGTGTTCCCAGCACCATTTGTTGAAAAGGCTATCTTTTCTCTATAGTATGTTTGTCTAGTATGAAATAAATGTATTTATGTGGATTTGTCTATGTGTGTTCTATTTTGTACCATTGGTCTACATGTCTACTCTCGTGATAATACCATGTTGTTTTTGTTACTATAGCTCTATAGTATAGTTTAAGATCTGTTATTGTGATGCCTTCAGCTTCACTCTTCTTGCTAAGATTGCTTTGGCTATTCTGAGTCTTTTATTTTCCAAATGAATTTTTTCTATTTCTGTGAAGAATGACATTGGAATTTTCATAGGAATTGTATTATATCTGTATCATATCTTGGGTAGTATGGCCATTTTGCATAATATTAATTCTGCCTATCGAAGAACATGATAGATCTTTCAATCTTCTAAGTTCTTCTTCAATTTCTCTCTTTAGCATTCTGCTACTATGCTGCATTCATACATTAGTTCTAGAACATTTCAGGTGAATTTTTTTTATTTTTAAAATATAGAATCATGTCATCAGTAAATGGTGATAGTTTGAGTTCTTCTTTTCCAATTTTTATTGCTTTAATTTCTTTTGTGTAATTGCTCTGGCTAGTTTCTAGGAGTATTAAAACTTTCCTCTTTATAAGTTAATTATCTCCGGTATGGTGGTTCCTCTGATTAGAATCTATCACAGTAATATATTTTGAGTCTAAGAAAAATCAAAGCTAAGCTTTCTCTAGTTTGGGCCAATGCCTTGGGCCAAGTATAATTTTCTTCCATAAATTTCAGCCTAACTTTATACTTTGAGCTAAAGAATTGTTCTCTTACTTCTCTACTTTCTGATGCTTCTTCTATTTTATGTCTTCTTAGCTGGTTTTAGGGGAAGAAGCAACCTTAAAATCACATTACTATAAATGGAATCACCATGAACTACTGATTCCTTCCTGCTTTTAATCTGATACCAGGGTAGATGCTGGAACACTATTCTGTCTACAGCAGTGCTACTCAAATGGGTATTAAGTGCACTAGCACTGGACTGTAAATGTTTGTTACCAACCCACAATAAGACAGAAAGTGAGAGTGATAAAGAACACATCTACCATATCTTGTTCCAGAATGACACCAGTCAAGCAAAAGATACATATTTACATCAAGCCCTTGTCTGCTGAGAGCAGTTTGATTATCAGCTGTTGGTATGGAAGTTTGAAACCTCTGCTCAACATCTCCACTGAGTGCCTGCAAAGTCCTGTCCTCACACAAGCCCTCTGACAGTCTTCCCTTCTTCATTGATGCAACTCTTATCTTTCTAATTGCAGTGTCACAAATTTTTGGTGATCTACTTACTTCCTCTTTCTCATACTCCAGCTAAGTTCCTTAGGAAATGCTGTCAAGTCCCAATTCAAAATGTGTGCAGCATCCAAACACTTTCACTATTTCCCCTGCTCATACACCAGGTGAAGTGACCGACATCTCCAGCATAGGACTGTTTCCCTGCAGTTTCTCTCCTACCTTGCGAGTCCTCCCATATCAATTGTATTCTCAGCTCAGCAGTTAGTATGATGCTTTGAAAAGATGCATCATGTCTGTCTTTGCCCAAAACTGCTTCACTCAATGCAAGATTCCTTTTGTTAACTTCCAGATCTTCATTGACTGACTATGCCGCTGAGCTCCTCTCTGACTCCCCTCAGGGCATCCCAGATCCTTGCTCTCCCCGAACACACACAGGACCCTGCCCTGGTGCATTTGCACTGCAGCTTCCTCCTGCCTAGAAAGATCTTCCTCCAAACATCCTGACAAATTCCTTCATGTCCTTCAAATCTATCCCCCAAAGTCACCTTGCTAATAAGTCCTATGCTGAGCACCCTAGGAAAACAGTCATCTTTCTTATCCTGACACACCTACTCTGACAACTGTCCTGTAAAAATTTCCACCTAACATGAACACTCTCTTTATTTACTATGCTTAGAGTGCATCTTCTTCCTCTTCCCTATAGAATACAGGCTCCACAAGGGTGGCACTTTTGGTTTGTTTTCAGTTCCCTGATGTATGCTCGGTTGCAACTGTGTGTCATCTCTTCAGTACTCAACAAATATGAGCTGAATGAATGATCAGTGTCAGCCCCTCCCTCTTCTAGAAACACTGTCTTTATTAATGGAGCCTCAGACTAAAAGCTGCTGGGCATCTGAAGAGCATGGGCTTCTCAGTCTGAGGTCAAAGCCATCTGGGCTTTTCTCTCAAGTGCTGCTCTCCCTCCCTCCACAGCACCCAAGTATGTTTTGATCTTCAGGAGAGATGATCCTTGACAAATGGGTCATATTTTCCAGCTAAACAGAAATCTCTATTAGACTTTGTTTTATTGATGAAGGAATCTGTAATGGAGCAAGTTCTAGAATTAGTATAGTTAAGGAAGTGAAACTGCAGAATAGAGAAGATAGAATCCTAAGAGGAATTTATTAAGGATGAGAAATTATGAGATCCTTCCTCTCTGTTATTCCCATAATCTGGGAATATTGGGGGAATGATGGAAAATACAATCCAGGAAACTGCTCTGGGTTTTTTGGGACAATGACAGAAAAAAAGGAGTTCTGCTGCTATCAATGATGAGAGACATCCATAGGAGAAAGAGCCCAGACATCATATTTATTAATAAGAACAGGGATAATTCTCTATAGAAGCTGATAAACTAAAAAAGATGGGAGAATAAAGTGAGACTCTGGTCTCATCCTGTACTGACCCAGCAAGGTGATGCCCTCCGTGCCTATGGTCTTGGAGACAGGAGCTCTGGTGATGCTTAAGTCCCTGTCATGACAGGACTTGGTGGGATGATGTTCAACTGGAGGGACAAAACTAAGGAGAAGGGAAGAGGATTTAGGTGAGGAGTGGACCACATCAGAGACCAGGATGCACTGAGCAGGGACTGAGTGCCAACTTGTCCACCCTCAGCTGCTTTCAGTCTTCTCCTGTCCCCACCTGCAGCAGACTCAGCACAGCAAACATATGGATTCTAGATTTCAGGCTTTATTTTTTTTCAAATTTGAGAATCTTCATTTAGTTTACCCATCAACCATATTTTGTGGCATAAATTTGAAATACAAATCAATATTCAGATTCTATTTTTCAAAAGGGAAGGAAGAAGCTATAGCCCAGGGCAACATGAAGCTACATAAAAAATGGAGACACCTCAGCCTCACATCTGCTACATAGGAAAGTTGATTGAGGAAGAGAACACAACAGTGTGGGGAGGGATCTTGGTGATCAGGGATGTGCTCTTCTCTGCATTTCCTCAGTGATGATGATAGAAACACAGACACATAGACACAGTTAGATGCCAGCTACACAGAGAAGTTAGAAACTCTTGAAATCTTAGTAGGGAGCAGGAATGAACTAAAGAAATCCTGTATTATTCAGTCCCACACAAGGCAGCTGTCTCACACTGTAAAAGAAAGTATTATGAACAGATTCAGATCACTCATTGTAATGGAGACACTCTGAACAACTGATTAAACACTCAAAATGTCAAAAATCCCCATGAGAGTCCCTGTAACCCAAGAGTGTCTCCATTCCCCAACCCCTCTCCCTCTTTAGGCCCTCCAGGGTCTCACATTTTTAAGCAGTGAGAGACACATAAGAGTCCTGGGCACTGTCATTACCTGAGCAGAACAAAAACAGAACCTGGTCAGAGCCCACAGGAGATGGGAGTAGTGAAGAAATTAAGGGATAGACCAGCTCCCCCATTGCTTCCCATTAGACTATTTCTAAGGTCTCAAGGATCAGTGTTCTTCATACTTACCCTTTGCTGGAGCATAGGGCCCTTTTTTTACACCTGTGGGAAGAAAGCATCCTGTGAGAGAACAGTTTAGAGATAGGTCTTAGAGGTACCCTGTAGTGCTAGACACTGGGACAGTCTCCAGATCTGTGACTGCAGACATAGGGAAGCATCAGGAGACCAGAAGAAAGTAGATATGTAGGGATGGAGCCAATTGCTCTCATGGAGGTCTGTTCTCAACAGGAAGATTCCCCTCTGGCCTCTAAATGCTGGGAATCAGGACCCATCACCACAAAAATCAAGAGGATATTACATTCTATGCACTTTACAAAAAGTAAACAGGGTCCAGGTTGGGTAAGGACATGTGTAGATGTTATTTCCCATTAACAAGGCAGGACACACTTCTAGTAGGCACTTGAAACCACCAGGGGGCAAAAATTTAGACCCTGCACTTTCCCTACCTGTGTTTTTCTTCTTCCATAAGACAAAAGCTACCACAGCTCCAGTGACAGCGACTCCAAGGAGAATCACACCAGCAACAATTCCCACCATGGGGATGGTGGGTTGAGAGGGTGGCTCTGGGAAGGGAAGGGAAGTCAGGTGAGGGACCCTGATTCCCGGCTCTCAGTCCCCACACTGCTGAGGGTCTCCAGAAAGCCTCCTGCTTTCCTGACAACAGGCTCTGGGCCCTCACCCCCTCCTTACCCCATCTCAGGGTGAGGGGCTCAGGCAGCGCCTCATGGTGCACATGGCATATGTATCTCTGCTCCTCTCCAGCAGGCACCTCCACAGAGGCCCATTTCTGGAAGTTTCCATCCCCTGCAGGCCTGGTCTCCACAAGTTCCATGTCCTGGGTCTGGTCCTCCCCATCCCTCTGCCAAGTCAGGGTGATCTCCTTAGGATAGAAGTCCAGGGCCCAGCACCTCAGGGTGATGTCTCCTTCAGGCCTAGGGTGGTGAGTCACATGCATCTTTGGGGGATCTGAGGGTAAAAACACAGAAATTCAAACATTTTGGCATTTCCTCTCATGGGCCACTTAAGCAGTGCTCACTTGACCATCCTGAGAGTGGACAATATGACCGGAGAGTGGAGGGAGCACAAAACCTAGACACAAGCCAGGACTGATTCTTCTGGCATAATCTATACCTTGGAAAGTTCTATAATCAGATTGAGATGGCCCAATGGAGGAGGTTTCAGGTTCCTAAGAGGGACTTCAGATTCTGATTTGGTACAGGCTGAGACATATGGAAAAGCTGGAGTCAGACCTCCAAGGATACTAGGCTGGAGTGGACCTAACAATGTGTCCTTGAAGCAAAGGCTGCTGCCAGGAACCTGTGGTCAGGTTTTAATGTCTTTCCCAGCAGCCAGGGAGAGAGAGACAGGATCCCTCATTTGTCCTGAGACCAGTGGCCTTCAGTTCCTCTGTAGTGCAGCACCTGGGGGTCCAGGCCCACTCCTTCCCCCAGAACAAGGAGCAGGAGGTGTCTAGTGTGGGCGCCATTCTCCCCCCCTCCTTGTGGGAAGCTGGAGGAGAGACCTACCGGGAACAGGCAGGTGTCCTGCAGCCCCTCACACCTACCTGTGCGCAGCAGTGTCTCCTTCCCGTTCTCCAGGTATCTGGTGAGTGATTCCACACACTCCCCCTCCAGGTAGGCCCTGTGGTGCTCCGCGTCACCGGCCGCCTCCCACTTCCGCCGGGTGATCTGAGCCGCCACGTCTGCCGCAGTCCAGGAGCGCAGGTCCTCGTTCAGCGCCAGGTAGTCCTTACCGTCATAGGCACGCTGCTCGAACCCGCGGAGGAGGCGCCCGTCTGTCCCCAGGTCGCAGCCAGACATCCTCTGGAGTGTGTGAGAGCCTGTCCCCGCCCCGCCATCAGCCCCGTCCCCGCTCCGCCCACTCTGGGTTTTCCCTAAACCGAAAGTGAAACCTGGTCACAGTCCCCAGGGCGCTTTCTGAGTCGAGGGTCCCCAGGGGTCCCTCAGCTTTGAGGTGAAGCTTGGCCTGGGATCTCTAACGATTCGGGGCCGTCCTTGAGGGAAGTAAAGGGTCGCGATCTCCGACTGGGGCCTGGGGCCCGGGTCACTCACCGTCTGCGCTCTGGTTGTAGTAGCCACGCAGGTTGTTCAGGCTCATTAGGTCAATTTGTGAGTGGCCCTTGGCTTTCTGTGTCTCCCTTTCCCAATACTCTGGCCCCTCTTGCTCTATCCAAGGCGCCAGTGGCTCCATCCTTGGTGTCTCGGCGTCGCTGTCGAAGCGCACGAACTGCGTGTCATCCACGTAGCCCACGGTGATGAAGCGGGACTCCCCGCCAGGCCGGGACACGGCAGTGATGAAATACCTCATGGAGTGGGAGCCTGGGGGACGGAGCCGCTGTGACCCTGCTATCCCTTCCAGGCATCCAACCAAGGTCCCAGGTTGCTGAAGCCAGAAAGAGAGGAGCGGGGTCTAGAGGCGCTAAGGGGGCAGTGGGACGCGGAAGGGCAGGACTTAGTGGCTAGAGTGGAAGGTCAGGACAAGTAACTCCAGGTTGGGGAGGGTCTGGGCCAGGGCGACTGGAACGTGGCTTCCCTGGGTCCTGCGCAGACTGGAGGGTCCCCTGGCTCCTCCCTTGCAGAGGCCATTTCCCTCCCCACCCCGCACTCACCCTCCCAGGTCTCAGTCCGGGCCAGGGCCCCGGACAGCATAAGGAACAGCATCCGGGGCGCCATTACCCCCATCATCCAGCTCTGTGGAGATTTGGGACTTGGCCGGCCTTGGACGCTTTAAAACCGGAACCGTGGTAATGCTGTTTGGCTTCTCTAGGAGCAAGACATGCAGTGGGCGTGAGAACCTGGCCGCGTCAAGAGTGTCCAGGCAGAAGGACCTGACACGGGTTGGGAGAAGAAGAAGTGAAACTCCAGAGAGTGCTAGGTGTCCACACCATGTCCCATCTAGACCCTGAGAGCCACACCCAGGGCTGGGACTTTGTCCTGAACACTCCTCTGTACTAAACATTCTTTGTCACACCATCCCCTGATTCCTGCCTCAGGGTGTAAAGTCAGTAGCTCTCAAATGTTTTGGATTCAGGATGTACTTGGTCTTAGAAAGTAGTGGGCAGTCTAGAGGTGATCCAGTTTATGTGAATTATATCTGTCAATATTCACCATATTAGAAATTAATTCCATGTTAAAGATATGTTATTCCTTCTGAGTATTTATAACGAATTGCATGTTAACAAACAGCAGTTTCAAAAAGAAATAACTTTTTTCCAAAATCAAAACATTTAGTCTGATGACTGGATCATTTTTTCTTTTTACAAGTTGAAAGTCCTTTTTATTTGTCATAGAGAATGCTAGATGTTATATGTTCTGCATTTACCCTGTGACTTTGGTTGAAACAACAACAAGAAATGCAGTCTCAGAGAAGTATCAGGAAGAATGTTTTTAATAACATTTTCAGTAACTGTGGCTATTGTCTTTGATACAGACACTAACTTGATACAAGTGTTAGCTTAAAGTTTCTTTACCATATGAACCCTGAAATATTACCATGGAATAGTTCATATTCTGTTGTATTAAAGTCTGTGAGTGTGTCTTGCATATTGAATGGATCTTGTGCTAATGAATGATATTTTTTTGAAGTCATGCACTGTTTGCCCACGTTATATATGTAGACCTTCTAGTGTTGACATATTTAAATGCAAATAATCAAAATGTTATATGTTGATATTTCTACAGATTTCACCAGAAAATGTTGTAGGTACTTGGGAGTCTGTCAGGTTGATAGTGGTGAATGCGGGTTGTACTAGATTCTGAAATTCTCTTGAGAGCATACATTTTATCATTGAAAATATTGTTGTCTGTGATTATCTTGAAGGGACAGACTCAGTTCATATTTTAGCATGTTGGCCAAATATTGAAGTCTAAGGAATGGTTTCTCTGTCATTCATTTTTGAAGCAGGAATGATATTTAAAAAAAAAAAATGGGACTGTTACAACTCACCACAGTCTTTTGTTGACACAAACACCCTACTTTCAAATATAGCAGATGTGCTTTAAGTGTACTTCCAATTCTATCAAATAAGGGTATTTATAATGTTAATTATGGAGTGGCAATTTAAAAAGTTAATGATTTTTTAACACCTGAATCAGGACATGTTTAAGTGAACTTGCATGTTTTTCCTTCTATTGTTAAAAGGTGCTCAAGAATATAGTAACTACTATTGCAGTTTGGTACCATAGCTTCCACTCTAGCAAGTTTTACTTTGGTCTAAATAATATTTTAGTGATATTATAAAAATATTTTGATCATATGGATCATGTGCAATAATCTGAACACATCTAAGGGTTCCATAGATCACACATTGAGAACTGCTGCTCTGTGTAAACTGTGGAGAGACCCCAAATGGTCCCAATTTCTTTGCTTGATTGAATGTCACTACTTTCAGTAATTGCAAAAACTTGTAAAAAGATATGGTACATGTAGAAATTATGCACAATTAGGTGTAGAAAAAAACCAAAAATAAGTTCTTAGAAATAAAAAACTGGTCACAGGAATGAATAATTTTATAGATGATTTGGACAATTAAAATAGTATCAGAAAAGAATTAGCATGGTACCCTGTTTGAAGAGGCTCCTGGGAGCCTGTGTGCCCTTCACCAGCAACAGCCACACCTCTGGATGTCTGCCAAAATAAGACTCCTTGCCCCCATAGGAAGCTAATTCTTTTTTCTTTGGTTCCTGGGATTAAACACAGGGGGCCTAACCACTGAGAAACATCCCTAACCCTTTAGAGGTGGGTCTGGCTAAGTTTTCCAGGCTGGCATGGAATTGCTGCAGTCCTCCCTTGGTCTCTCCTGAGTCTCTGGGGATTACAAGCATGAGCACCATGCCCAGCCTGGCCTAAGCTAATTCTTCAGATCAAAATAAGACTAGCGTGTTGAATGAGAGGGTCAGTAGTAGGGGTAGAGAAAAATCCTGGTCTCATGGACCTTACTCTGCTGCCCTCTGCAAACAGGACAAGCAGGGGTGAAAAGTGAATCCAGTTTCACCTAGAGGATTATTCCTGGGTACTCAGCTGTGATCCCAACTCCAGCCTATTTTCCATATGCCTAATTACTAATGGCCAATGGTTTTGACATTAATGTTCCAATTTGGGAAGTTTCCAATCCTAATGCTTCAGCTACAAAGAGAATTCAGGGTTTTTACAGCCTTTCTCTTTGTTCCCATTTTCTTTGATCCCTGTTTCCATTGGGCCCCAAAGGTGACTGGGAATGTGGGGGTCTGCCAGAGCCTTAGCAATTGCTGAGATGTGGATGAGAAGATGACTCTCTTCACTCAAAATCCTCCAACCTCATCCAAGTAGTTGGCCTTACAGGCATGTGGTACTATCCAGCTGAACATTATCTTTAATAAACTGTTTTCCTGGGGAAAAAAGAATTAGTATATGGTAAGAAAGAGAGAAGAACTGTAAGAGCACAAGGCTATCAATAAAAGATTTTCAACAACTGAACAATATGAATTGCAAAATAATTGAGAGTAAGGAATGATTTTAAAATCTCAAGACATTTTATTAGCATTTACCCTCCCCCACAAATTACATTGAATTGACTCAAAATAAATGAAAATAGACCTATGTGAATTTAGATTACATTGAAATTTCAAAGGGTAGGTAGAAAAGAAGAGATCCTGCTTTGGGAGCTAGAAAATGTTGAAACAATATCATGCACACTCCAAGTAAACATATTTTCAACACAGAATTCTACTAAATTAGAGTTGGACTGAGAGCTGGGGTGTCTGAAAGACATTTTAGATGTTTTCAGCTCCAATATTTTCTGTTCCACATTCCTGTAGGATATGGCTAAATGAAGTGAGAAACAAAAATGATGGAGAAAAAGCAAGAAAAGGGAATATGGGAAATGTAGTCAACAGGGAGCCAGAATGAGACAGGGAGGCCGTGCTCCCCCTATGAGGTGAAGCAGATCCAGGGGGTCAGCCTCGCTCCAGTTGTGAAGGCATCCAGTTCAGATGTGGCAGGATTGAGAGCTCTGGTGGAATCATGGATATGCTTATACTCATAGAGACTGTCTTAGTCTGTTTGGCTGTTTTAATAGAACACAACATGTTAAGTGAATTGTGAAGAACAGATATTTATTTTCTCACAGTTATTAAGGTTGGAAGTGTCACAAGCCATCCAGAGGCTATGAGTGTGAGCTATGAGTATTTGAGCGATAAGACTGGTTTGGCTTTATGCACTGACTGGGCTGTGCGACATCAGTGTGCCTTCCTCTTGCACTGCCTGTGATCCCACACAGCACCTGAGATGAGTGTGAGTGGCCAAGATGTCAATTAATCTGCTGACCACAGACATCACAAAGCAAGACTCCACCTTCAGAACCCTACCCAGCCCTTCTTTGGTGAAGAACATTCCATGGAACCTCCTTTGTGTATGCCCCCCACCCCCATAAAATAAAAGGAATGCAGGTGCATGCTCTCTTTCCAGTGTGGAGCTGACACTTGGGTTTGCTGAGTAGTCCCATCCTTGACTTGAGAAACTCATGTTCATGTGATGCTAGTTTCTTTTTTTTTTTTTTTTGATTAGTTGCTCAAAACATTACAATGATCTTGACATATCATTTATCATACATTTGATTCAAATGGGGTATGAATTCTAATTTTTACCACATGTACAAATTGCAGGATCACATTGGTTATACTTCCACGTTTATACTACTGCCATACTAGTGTCTGTTGTATTCTATTGCCTTTCCTATCCCCTTCCTATCCCCTCTCCCCTCTTCTCCCCTTCCATCATCACTCTCTATCCCATCTACTGTAACTCATTTCTCTTTTTCCCCTTTACCCTCAAATCCTCTCATATGTAATTTTGTATATCTATGAGGGTCTCCTTCCATCTTCCATGCAATTCCCTTTCTCTTTCTCATTCCCTCCTACCTCTGATCCCTGCTTAATGGTAATCTTCTTCTCATGCTCTTCCTCCCTGCTCTGTTTTGAGTTGCCCTTCTTATATCAAAGAAGACATTCAGCATTTGTTTTTTAGGGATTGGCTAACTTCACTTAGCACAATCTGCTCTAATGCCATCCATTTCCCTGCAAATGCCATGATTTTGTTGTTTTTTAGTGCTGAGTAATATTCCATTTTGTATAAATACCACTTTTTTTATCTATTCATCTAATGATGAGCCTCTAGGTTGGTTCCACAGTCTAGCTATTGTGAATTGTGCTGCTATGAACATTGATGTAGCTGTATCCCTGTAGTACGCTCTTTTTAGGTCTTTGGGGAATAGTCCGAGAAGGGGAATAGCTTGTTCAAATGGTGGTTCCATTCCCAGATTTCCAAGGAATCTCCATACTGCTTTCTAAATTGGCCGCACCAATTTACAGTCCCACCAGCAATGTACAAGTGTACCCTTCTCCCCACATCATCACCAGCACTTGTTGTTTGACTTCATAATGGCTGCCATTCTTACTGGAGTAGACAGTATCTTAGAGTGGTTTTAATTTGCATTTCTCTGATTGCTAGAGATGGTGAGCCTTTTTTGTGTATTTGTTGATTGATTGTATATCCTTCTCTGAGAAGTGTCTGTTCAGGTCCTTGGCCCATTTGTTGATTGGGTTATTTGTTTTCTTATTGTTTAATTTTTTGAGTTCTTTGTATACTCTGGATATTAGGGCTCTATCTGAAGTGTGAGGGGTAAAAATTTGTTCCCAGGATGTAGGCTCCCTATTTACCTCTCTTATTGTTTCTCTTGCTGAGAAAAAACTTTTTAGTTTGAGTATGTCCCATTTGTTGGTTCTTGATTTTAACTCTTGTGCTATAGATGTCCTATTAAGGAATTTGGAGCCCGACTCCACGAGATGGAGATTAGAACCAACTTTTTCTTCTATCAGACACAAAGTTTCTGGTTTGATCCCTAGCTCCTTGATCCATTTTGAGTTAACTTTTGTGCATGGCGAGAGAAAGGGATTCAGTTTCATTTTTTTGCAGATGGATTTCCAGTTCTCCCAGCACCATTTGTTGAAGATGCTATCCTTTCTCCATTGCATGCTTTTAGCACCTTTGTCTAATATAAGGTAGTTGTAATTTTGTGGATTGGTCTCTGTTTCTACTATTCTGTACCATTGGTCTACCCATCTGTTTTGGTACCAGTATCATGCTGTTTGTTACTATTTCTCTGTAGTATAGTTTAAAGTCTGGTATCGCTATACCACCTGTTTCACTCTTCCTGCTTAGAATTGGTTTTGCTATTCTGGGTCTTTTATTTTTCCAGTTGAATTTAATGATTGCTTTTTCTATTTCTGTGAGAAATGCCAGAGCAATTAGATAGATGAAATAAATTAAAGGCATAAAGATAGGAAAAGACGAACTTAAATTAGCACTATTTGCGGGTGACATGATCCCATACCTAGCAGACCAAAAAGGCTCTACCAAGAAACTTCTAGAGCTAGTAAATGAATTCAGCAAAGTGGCAGGACATAAAAATCAACACACATAAATCAAAGGCATTCCTGTATATCAGTGACAAATCCTCTGAAATGGAAATGAGGACAACCACCCCATTCACAATATCCTCAAAAAAAATAAAAGTTGGGAATCAACCTAACAAAAGAGGTGAAAGACCTATACAATGAAAACTTTAGAACCCTAAAGAGAGAAATAGAAGACCTTAGAAGATGGAAAATATACCCCGTTCATGGATAGGCAGAATTAACATCATTAAAATGGTGATATTACCAAAAGTACTCTATAGGTTTAATGCAATGCTG